TTAAAAAATCCAACAAAGAATCCTTTGGAATATATTTATGATATGGAAAAAATTCATTTTATGAACCTACAGTAAATATAACAATAATTGATGCAGACTCCATTTATGCATCTTGATACAATCTGAGAGGGAAAATAAAATTATCTTAGCAAATATATATTGTAACTAGTCAATAAATATAGGTGAAAAATCTCTACCCATATAGCTGGGAGAAAACATTCTCTTCTGGCATCAAGAATTCAATTCTGGCTTTTTAAACTTGTTTGTATATAAATTCAGCAATGCTATGTATATTAATATAAGATTTCTCCATCATGAAGTAGAACCCACTTAAAAGCACACCCGACTGAAAAAATACAGCAGTTAGAGTCAAAAATTTGGCCTATTTTATGTAAGCCTATTGAAGGTGAAGAAAAGGGAGCAGGGATTCTCACCATTTCAGCGCACCCTACACAGGTCTTGATACCAACAGGCTTAAAGAGGGAGGAGAGATTCATAGACATGTAGATTCAAGACCAGAGAGGACCATCATGATCGTCTAGTCTGACCTCCTGCTTAACACGGGCTGTAAATTTCACCCGATTTAAAGACTTCAGATGATGAAGGATCTTCCACACTCTTGGAGAAAGTTGCAATAGCTCATTGTTGAAAATGCTCCTTATGCATTCCCTCTTATACACTGGATGCACTCCACTCCTTAAAAGACTATGCTCCCATTAATATATGGGGACATTAGTAGCATAATGTCAAATACCTAATACCACATGGCACCACTTACATCAGAGATGGGCAAATTCTGGCCTGTGGGCCAGATCCAGTGCTCAAGGTTAGTCCCTGGCGGGCCCCCACCACTATGTTTACCTGTGCTTTTGCAGTGATTGGAAGATTGCAGCTCTTGCTGTTCACGGCCAATGCAAACGGCAGGAAGCAGTGTCCCAGTCCATGCTGCTTCCCACCACTTGCATTGGCCGCAAACAATGATCCATGCTCAATGAGAGCTGTGATTGTCCAATACCTGCAAAAGCACAGGTAAACATAGCAGTGGCAGCCCGCCAGGGACTAACCCTGTGAACTGCCATTTTTTATTGCCCCACCCCAACTAACATTGTACTGTTTATAAAATCAGTTTCAATTTTCTATTCATATGTATTGCCCTGAATGGATTAGTAATACATGATAGGTTTGGCATTTTCTGCATGTAATTCTGTGTCACCTGCTAGAAACATTCATTGTGTTGCAGAATAGGGTCCTAAATGTGACACTTCTGCCTATGTGTGCTATTCGCCTGAGAAAAGGACTGAGCCCTATGTTAGGGAATGAGTCTTTTTTTACATCTGCCTGCATATTATGCTGCACAGAGGGCATTTCAGAGAAAACAGATCTATAAGAACTGAGACAGTCCTTTTATTCTGAGAAACTTCTAGTCTTTCTTTTAACAAAACCTTAAGGTTTATTTATATATACACACATACCTGCCAATATTCTGTTCTGGAACTCAGAGTACAGTGATACACCAGTTGATGTAGCTTAGGTATCCTCCTTTGTTATACTCTGATTTGGTGTTCCGTTCCGTTATACCAGTATATGCTGCATTACAATACCATATACTAACTGTGTCAAGTGCAAAGTTTTTAAGTTTCATATTTTGCTTCCATGAACACATTTGTTCACAGAGGGTCTTATTTATCTCTATAGCTAATGAATTAGATTGTTTAATAAGAGACTTTTTGTCCCATCCTGATTTGATCTTATCGTTAAAGAGCCTGTACCCGCCCATAGAGACTGGCAGAGTGACGCAGACAACGGCCCAGAAGACCATCACTCCTTAGGGACCAGTAGACTACTATGTCATATTAGTGATGGAGATAATCCCCTTCTGTCACCAAGCTGCTCAATCTTTAGTCAAAGCCAGAGATTTAACTTGGACACAGACTCGGCCCCTTCCTCACCAAGCGCTCAACCTTTCATGACGTAAGAAAATATATTTTTAACTTTAATTTTTATTATATTTGTACAATCTAGAACATATGACTCTTCCCATTTCTTAGATATGGTCATGGAATTTGCTCTAAACAGGGATGTTTCATAATATAATATAATTTGGCATGGTTAATTTGAAATACTACAAATATGATCTAACGTTTTCTAATGAGAGAAAAGTATAACATTAGCTGAGATCTCAGTTAATTATAATTTAGTAATGACATTTTTAAAGATTAGTTCATAATGAGCCAAAAAAGTAAACACAGGATTTTTTTTTTAAAAAAAAAGGTTCTTAAAGGTATAATTCAGAAAATTTCAATTGCAGTGGAATTACTGCATGAGTCATTCTTTGGAATTGGAAAGTAGTGTCACAAAACATCTGAATAGTCCTGTAAGTCCTTTTTGGAAATTCTAAGAATTAATTTAATGCTAGAATTGTTTTCTTTAAATCCTAAAAATAAAGTTTAATCAATTATAAATAATCAAGCCTATTTATTCATAAATGTAAAAAAAAATCACACATGAAATATCCTACAAAATAGATAAGCCTGTTATCAGTAAGGAAAGATTCTCCATTGCAACTCTAGAGTCCTTTAGAATGTAAGAAACTATAATACTGAAAAGGTGGTGTTTTTAATAATTTCTTGGAAATTTATGGTAACTCACTCTTTCATGAGCCCATCTTCTTTTTAAGAGACAAAGTTAAAATGGTACATTTATCAATAAAAAAACTTAAAAATAACATTTTAGTCCATCAAACCCAGTTTTGGCACATGGAGATTAGCCAGAACCATTTTCAGTACAGCTGGTTGAGAAATTTCTGAATGAATCATTTTCTATCAGAAAAAGCCATTTTGCCAAAATCTAATTTTTTTAGTGGGATTATGTTCATTTTGACAAAATTTTATTTTTTTAGATTATAAGGATATTTGTGTTTTGTAAACTAAATTTAATATTTCCTTTATTACATTATAAATTGTGTAGTATAAAACAATATAAATTATGCAATATAAAACATCTAACTTTTAATGAAACTTTTTAATTTCATTTAAATGAAATGTTTTGATTTACTCATAATTTTTTTTCTGAAATTTTGATTTAATTCTGAGTTGGAACAAAATAAAGTTTGAAATGTTAGAATTCCTTGTGGATTGGAAATTCTGAGTTGTGACCAGCTCTATTACGTACAAGATAGGGATTGTAGGTTTGTTCTTAAGTTGAATTTGTATGTAAGTCGGAACTGGTACATATTGTAGGGGAAACTCTAGCCAAACATTTCTCCAGAGCTCAGTTTTATTCTCCCACACCTCACTTCCCTCAGGCCTTTATTCCCAAGCGGAGGTGACTGCTGAGAAAAGCTGCTCCGCCTCTCCCTGGTCTGCTGGGGGGGAGGGGGGGCGCTAGCTTCGCGTCTCCTTGGTCTGCTGGGGGGAAGCAGCTAGTGCGGGGTTGCCTCACCCCATTTGTAAGTAGGGATCCGATGTAAGTCGGATCCATGTAACCCGGGGACTGCCTGTACTACATTTATACAAGTTGGTAGCAGTAGATAATGATAATCTACAGAAATCATGATAGGCTGCATACTGGTCTGTTTCGGGAAGAAGATATCTTTCAGAAAAAAAAGCTTCTTTCTCATAGAAAATAATTACCAATGCCAGAAAACCCCCCTCTGTTTTTTCGATTTACTTTCGGAAGAATGCGATTGCAGTGTGGACATAACTCAAGTTTTGTCAGAAAACCAGCCAGAGAGTTATCCAGAGAGTTCCACAGGTTGACTGTGAAAAAACATTTTTTTTGTTTGTTTTACATCTGCTGCCCATAAATTTAATTGGGTCATCTTCTTGTGTTATGTTAGTGAAGGAATGAATAACATTTTCTTATTCTATTTGTCCACACCATTCATGATTTTCTAGACCTCTAGCATATCCCCCCACCCTTTAGTAATTTATTTTCCACGCTCCAAAGTCCCAGTTTTGTTAATCTCTCCTCATATGGAAGCTGTTCCTTATTCCTAATCATTTTGGTTGCCCTTCTCTGTACCTTTTCCAAATCCAATAAATCTTTTTTTAGATGGGGTGACCAGATCTACATACAGTATTCAAGATATAGGCATACAATGATTTTATATAGAGGCAATATGGTATTTTGTCTTATTATCTATTTCTTTCCTAATGACTCCCAATATTCGGTTAGCTTTTTAGTTTTCAAACTGCCATTGCACTTTGAGCAGATATTTTCAGGGAACTAGCCACAAGGATTCCAAGATCTCTTTCTTGAGTGGGAACAACTATTTTGTATCTATGGTTAGGATTATATTTTTCCATGTGCATTACTTTGCATTTATCAGCACTGATTTCCAACTGCCTTTGTGTTGCCCAGTCAGACAGTTTGGTGAGACCCCTTTGTAACTTTTACATTCAGCTGTGGATTAGTCACTGTTTACCTCTTTTTTAAGAACATTTATAAGGTTAACAACAGTGATCTAAATGTAGATCCCTGCAGCACAACATTTTTCCTTCCTATCTTTTAAGTGGAGTACCTGGCAATGTTTTCATGATGATCTTTCAATTATATGAATAACCAGCCCTTATTCTTAATCATCCTGCCCCTTCCTCTTCTTACAACAAACTCTCTGCCCCAAAGGCAAAGCTGCAAGCAGCCCAATTTTTTGCATTTGAGAGCTGCCTCTAGAGTCAAGGCTTTGGGCTTTAAGCAGACCCCAATCATGAAATCCAGGGGTTCAAAGGTGGAAAGGCCCCTTAGATACCTCAAAGAGCTTTCCCTGCTGGGCTTTCTCCAATGCATTCACATACCTTTTGTAATTTTTCTTTTTCAGAATTGGATGCAATACTCCAGATGAAGTGTCACCAGTGCTGATTAAAGGAGAATAATTTCACGTTTCCTCAACTCCCGTCCCCTTTCACCCCTCCTCTACCTACGGTACATCGATGACATCTTTATGATCTGGACACATGGCCAAGAAACACTGGAGATATTCCACAGAGATTTCAACAACCTACACCCCACCATCAACCTCAGCCTGGACCATTCTACACGAGAGATCCACTTCCTGGACACCACCGTACAAATCAACAATGGAAAATTAGACACCACTCTCTACAGAAAACCCACTGACTCATACAGTTACCTACATGCATCCAGCTCCCATCCAGAACACACCACACGATCCATCGTCTATAGCCAAGCCCTTCGATACAACCGCATCTGCTCTAACCCCACTGACAGAGACCAGAAGCTTCAGGATCTCTACCAAGCATTTATAAACCTCAACTACCCACCCGGAGAAATAAAAAAGCAAATTGAAAGAGCCAGACGAATACCTAGAAACCATCTACTTCAAGACAGACCCAAGAAAACCAACAATAGAACACCACTTGTCATCACCTACAACCCCCAACTTAAACCTGTCCAACACATTATCAATAAACTACAGCCTATATTGGAACAGGATACCATACTCAAAGAGGCTCTGGGAGACAGACCCATAGTCTCCTATAGACAACCACCTAACCTCAAGATGATTCTTACCAACCACCACAGGACATACCACACTAATACCAACCCTGGTACCTTCCCTTGCAACAAACCCCGTTGCCAGCTTTGTCCACATATTCATTCTGCTGATACCATTATTGGACCTAACCAAGTGAGTTATAAGATCAAGAACACATATTCCTGCGCATCCAGAAATATAATCTATGCTATCATGTGCCGAAAGTGTCCGTCTGCTATGTACATTGGACAAACATCTCAGACACTTCGCCAAAGGATTAATGCCCACAAAACAGATATCAGACAAGATCACAAAGAGAAAACAGTTTCTTGCCACTTTAACCAGAAAGGACACTCTCTAAATGACTTAGCCACCTGCATTCTGCTACAAAGACCTTTTACATCTGCACTTGAAAGGGAATCCTCTGAACTGTCATTCATGTTAAAATTCGACACTTACCACCAGGGACTTAACAAGTCTTTGAACTTTCTCACCCATTATCAAGACAGTTTCCCCAATTATCACCTGTAATACCATTAACTCACAAACATCCCACTCTCCCTACCTCTAATATCATCAATTCACAGACACTTACCTTCCTTCCTCCCCCTTCCCACCCCCCCGCCTCCTCCTTCTGTTCTGCAATGTGATTTGTCCTTTTCATATTTGTTCATTTTTTTTAATTGTATCCTTTGGTATATATGGTTGTGACTACTTTCTTCCACTATTTGATCTGAGGAAGTGGGTCTGGCCCACGAAAGCGCATCATCTAATAAACCATCTTGTTAGTCTTTAAAGTGCTACATTGTCCTGCATTTTGCTGTAACAATGCTTGGGATTCTTCCGTCCCAAGTGCAGGACTCTTTGCCTGTTCTTGTTGAACCTCATCAGATTTCTTTCCGCCCAATCCTCCAATTTGTCCTGGTCACTCTGGACTCTATCTCTGCCCTCCAGCATATCTATTTCTCCCTTTAGTTTAACATCATCCGCGAACTTGCTGAGGATGCAATCCATCCTCTCATCCAGGTTATTAATAAAGAGACTTGAAACTGATTGCCAGCCAGACTCTCAAGCTATTGATCACTACCTGCTGAGCCTGACAATGTAACCAGCTTTCAATCCACTTTACAGTCCATTTATCCAATACATACTTCCTTAGCTTGCTGGCAAGAATACTGTGGGAGACCGTAATGAAAGCTTTGCTAAAGTCAAGGTATATCACATCCACTGACTTTCCCATGTCCACAGAGCCACCTCATTATAAAATCAGTTTGGTCAGGCATGACTTTTCCTTGGTGAATTCCTGGTCACTTTCCTCTCTTCCAAGTGCTTCAAAATGGATTTCTTGAGGCTCCCCTCCATGATTTTTCCAGGGACTGAGGTGAGGCTGACTGGTCTGTAGTTCCCTGGATTGTCCTTTGTCCCTTTTTTAAAGATGGGCATGGCCTTTGCCTTTTTCCAATCATCCTGAACATCCCCTGATATCCACAAGTTTTCAAAGATAATGACCAATGGTTCTGCAATCACAACAGCCAACTTCCCCAGCACCCTCAGATGCATTAGGTCCATCACCAAGGATTTGTGTATGCCCAGCTTTTCAAAAGAATTCTTCATCTGTTCTTTCTCCACCGAGGGCTGCCTACCTCCTTCCCATACTGCATTGCCTAGTGCAGTAGTCTAGGAGCTGACTTTGTCTGTGGAGACAGAGGCAACAAAAGGATTGAGTACTTCAGCTTTTCTCACATCATCTGTCACTAGGTTACCTCCCTTATCGAGTAAGGGACTCACACCCTTCCTGATCACCCTCTTATTGCTAACATGCCTGTAGAAACCTTTCTTGTTACACTTCACAGCCCTTGCTAGCTGCAATTCCAATTGTGCTTTTGCCTTCCTGATTACATCCCTGCATGCTTGAGCAATATATTCATACTCCTCCCTAGTCATCTGTCCAGGCTTCCACTTCTTGTGAGCTTCCTTTTTGTGTTTAAGCTCACCAAAGATGCCCCCGGTAAGCCAATCTGGTCGCTTACCATATTTGCTTCTCTTGCTGCACATTGGGATGGTTTCTTCCTGTGCCTTCCATAAGGCTTCCTTAAAATACTGCCAGCTCTCCTGGACACCTTTTCCCCTCATGTAAGCATCCCAGGGAATCCTGCCCATCAGTTCTCTGCGGGAGTCAAAGTCTGCTGTATTTTGCTACTCTCCTTTCTTCCTTTTGTCAGGATCCTGAAATCAACTATCTCATGATCACTGCTTCCCAGGTTGTCACCCACCTCTACTTCCCCTACTAGTTCATCCCTGTTTGTGAGCAGCAGGTCAAGCTGTGCCTGGCCCCTGGTCAGTTCCTTTAGTACTTGTACCAAGAAGTTATCCCCAAAAACTTCCTGGATTGTCTGTGTACTGCCGTATTGGTCAGAGTGATTGAAGGCCCTTATGAAAACCAGGTCCAGTCATCTGGAAGCTTCTCTTAGTTGTCTGAAGAAATCCTCATTTACCTCATCCACCTGATCTGGTGGTTATAGCAGACACCAACCACAACATCACGCTTGCTTCTCCCATCTCTAAACTTAACCGAAAAATTCTCAACGGGCTTTTCTCTGATTTTATACTGGAGCTCTGAGCAATCACACTGATCTCTTACATTCAGAGCAACTTCTTCACCTTTTCTCCACCTATCCTTTCTGAACAGTTTATATCCTTCCATGACGGTGTTCCAATCATGTGAGTCAGCCCACCAAGTCTCCATTATTCCAGTGACATCATAGTTCTTTGCCTGTGCCAGGACTTGCAATTCTTCCTGTTTGTTTCCCAGGCTTCTTGTGTTCGTACACAGACACCTTAGATAACTAGCTGATTGCCTGACCTTCTTAGTACGAATCGGGTGTACCTCCCCATTAGACCTTCTTCCTTGTGTTTCTTCCTGTATCCCACTTCCCCACTTAGCTCAGGGCTTAGGTCACCATCCCCTAATGAACCTAGCTAAATGTCCTCCTCACTAGGTCTGCAAGCCTGCCTTAAAGATGTTCTTCCCTAACTTTGTTTGGTGGATCCCATCTCTTCCTGGCAATCCTTGTGCCTGGAACAGCATCCCATGGTCAAAGAACCCAAAGTCCTCTCTCCAACAGCACCTTCACAAACATGAATGTACGTCCAAAATTTGATGATCTCTACCTGGACCTTTTCCTTCAAACAGGGAAGATGGACAAGAACACAACTTCTGCCTCAAACTCTTTGATCCTTCTTTCCAGCACCACAAAATCTGCAGTGACCTACTTAAGGTCATTCTTGGCAGTATCATTGGCTCCTACATGGAGAAGAGGTAGTGGTCTGAAAGCTTGATCAGTCTCGGAAGACTCTCAATCACATCCTGAATTCTAGCTCCAGGCAAGCAGCACACTTCTCAAGTTTCTCAGTCTGGACAGCAGATGGATGACTCCATTCCCCTTAGGAGGGAGTTCCCAAACAACACCAGCCATCTCCTTCTTTTGAGAGCGGTGTTCATGGAACCCCTATCCCTAGGACTGTGCATCCCATGCCTTCTGGTAGATGGAGTCTCCCTATGGTCCCTTCCCTCAGAGTTGTCTGCCAAAGCATTCTCCACCATAGTATCTGTGCAGAAAGCCTGAAAGTGATTACTTACTTTTATCTGGATTGGGTAAACCTGAATTGCCTTTCTTCTCCTGGAGGTCACATGCTTCTAATTTTCTTCCCTGTTCTGCATGACTCTCCCTGGTTCTTCTGCAACCAGTACTTGCAGTATTGAATGCTGCCTTCTATCCAGAAAATCTTCATCTTCTCTGCTGGAACTCGGGGTGATACTTGGGTCTCTAGTCCTTTAACCTTCTCTTCCAATATGGAGACTAGCTTGCACTTTTACAGATGTATTCTCTTCTGTGCTCTGGGAGGAAGACAAACAGCACATCCTGTACAGGTCACAACAGCTGATCTCTCACTATCCATACTGTCTTCCTTCTGAGAGACTCCTCAGTTGTTGTATTGATCGTACCCTGAAGCTTGAAGGCGAGAAGAAAGAGAAGCAAAAAAAAAAGGGGGGGGGGGAAACCTCACCAATCTCTGTGGGGCTCCTGCAAGGTACAGTCCCAGGCAAACTCCCTCTGTTCACTAAGTTTGCTCTGGCTAGCTTTTTTATAAGGCTGCTTTCTTGAAGCAGGTGACCTTCTCAAAGTCTTGTCTCCAATCCTATCAGCCCCTCAAAGTCCACCTGGACTAAAGCTCTCCCAATTCACACTTTTCAAATGGTCACTCTTTTCCAATAGCCAAACACATAGTCAAACAGTCCCTGCAACCAGCACCAGTCAAAGGGTCACAGACAGACAGGCATTTGGATACTCACCCCATCAGCTCACAGCACAGCCCCCTACTGTCACAAATGAAGTGCCATTTCTTGTTCCCATTGTGCATGTTGCATCATATCTTACTGCACAAATAATTTGATCAAATTCAGTAGAATCACTCAAGGAATAGGTCGCTGTTGCTAAGTTTGAGCCAAGGTATCAAATCTGGCTCTTTAGGTGGGGTTTTCAAAAGTGAGATCAATGTGTAGTCCTTTTAAGAAACCCACAATTAATGACAAAGTAAGGTAGGAAAGGTGAGAGTTCCCTACTAAACATTATACCATCTTCAAAGAAAAACAGATATTTCACACATTTACTCCATGAAATAGATATTTCAGCCATTTCTCCTTGTGTCTACCTGTAATAGAAACATCTGTAAAAGCTGGAGTTCTAACACAATCTACATGTGATTTAAAATAAAGATGGCTCTGTGTGGCTATAGTTCTGATTTCACGGCATGAGGTCAGAAGTGTTAGTTGCACTAACATGATTTTATTACTTCTGCTTTGCAGGCCAAGAAGCTCTTCCAGGTGTAATTGTGAGGACTGCAAAGAACCCCAGACAGTAATGCAACTTAGCAAACATCTTCAAAGTCTCAAGAGGAAGATCAGGAAGTTTGAAGAAAAGTTTGAACAAGAAAAAAAATATCGGGTAAGAAAGCAGAGAAATAAAATGGGATGAGTGCTACAGAAGGATTCCATGTATTTATTATGGTCCTTAAAGGCGTAGAACTGCTTCTAGCAAAATAATAGAAAAAAATCATATCTTAATGATTACAGGCCATAATTGTGAAGCTTCATTTGAGTTACCTTCATTGGGCAGTATCCATCAATCAGAATGTGTGATGATAAAATGTAATTACTTTAAAATATCCTGAAAACATGTGTGACTAGGTAGGTAGATGGCCAACTTTGGGATTGGAATAACACTCATGCACACTAGCTGGCAAACACAAATAAACACAGAGGCAACCTTGGAAATAATAAAAATGAAAACAATTTGCACCTATCCCTTTTTTGTGGATACTTGAGTAGTATTGGGAAAAAACACTGCTCTGGGAAGCAGAAGAGGGTAACAAGAGCAGTAGTCTGTAGATTAGCTCAGCTACTTTAATAATACTTTTCTGATCTCCAGGAGGGTAAAGGAAGAAAACACATGGCAATCACACAGATAATAGTTCTGTCAATGGGTATATTATTTTAATCATCAGGATCAGTCCTGAAGAGTATGGCGGTGATCACATCACTGACCTCCGGGAGGGTTGGGTAAGCAAGCAGTCCTTCAGGATACAGAGAGGTGTCCATCTTAGTGACCTCACAAAGACCTGGGATACATGAGCAGTGCTACTGGATACAGGGTGTGACTCAATAGGTCACCTTGCCTGGTACAGAGAGGGGAGCATTGAGTGTGTGACCTTAAGACTCAGTCAAGTGGGAGGAGAGTGAATGAATCTTCTGGTCAGATACAGCAGAGGAAGCAGTTAAGTCACTATATGACTTTTTTTAGATACAGGCTTGAGGCAGATGAACTAGGCAAGTAGCAAGGCTTGCAGCATTTCCCCTGCTTTGCCCCACTCAACACTCCCACAAAGCCTTTCCCTTTTACATACTGTTTATATTTTTGAGGGCATTTGGTCTTTTAAAAAAAATCTGTTTTGATTCTGTGCATCTGCTACTGTGCAGTAAATGCTGATAGGAAGCAAGAGAGGGAGGAGATGAAGGTGGTGAGAGACATAGGCAATGAGTGATATGGGCCCGTGGTGACCATGCTCCACCAATATTCAAGAATATGGGCCTAGCTCCACCACTGTTTGCCTTCTACTTTCAGAGTTGGAGGATGGAGTGGGGCAGCTCTCCTAGGCCCTGCACTTTGGAGGCCCCCATGCTTCAGCGGAATTTGGGGTTCAGGGTGACCAGGGAATTAGTAGTGAGCCTGGAGCTGGCAGCAGAGAAAGACCTGGCTCAGCACACCCTCCTCCACTGGTTCCTGGCATCACTCACAGGAGGGGCAGAGGCTGGAAAGAGGCAAGGTGGGGTTGGGATTTTGGGGGAAGGAGTAGAGTGGGGGCAGAGCAGAGTAGGAGGGCAGGTTCTGCCTGCTTCTGGTGCCAAGCCCCCTGCTTTGTGCCCAGGCTGCTCTGTTAGGGCATACTGTTGTGATCAGCCTGCCCTTCTCATCGTTAAATGGGAGATGGTCCTGAATAGATCCTGATAAATACCAATAAGGTCCTGGGAGGGGATCTTTGGCTAGAAATATTGACAGAAACATCTCTAGTGGAGGAGAGGGGCTAGAGGGATAAGTTACAGGTCTGTTCTTTTTTGCATGAGGGAAATCAGTATGTCTCATCATTTGCTATGATTTTCATTAACATACAATCTTTGTTCTGGAACATTTTGTATTTTAAATTAGCTATTTCTTTACTGGATATGTATATCAGGAGTGTTGTAAGAATTCCTGCTACATCAAGCAGAAGTTTGGTTTTCACAAACAAGCTCATGCCCATATTGAACCTTATGCATATGAATCGGTCCACTTAGGGCAGAAGAAAAGGAATAGTCCCATCATCAGTTCTTTTGTGTTTTCTCACATGCAGCCTTCACACGGTGATAAAACTTCCAATCCTGAAGTCCTGAAATGGATGAATGATTTGGCTAAAGGTCGCAAACAACTCAAAGGTATCTAGGAGTATATAGTTTAATTTTTTTGCACGTTGGGAAATTTCAGAATACAGGTTGAATCTCTCTAGTCCGGCACTCTCTCCGTGGTCTGGCATGATTTTAGTTAGCTGGATGTTTAGTTATCATGGGCGGGCCCAAGTTTCCTGTGGTCACATAAAGTTTGTTTACAGTCACCAGTCCTGGCTCTCAGTGTTCTGTGCTGTTATTTCACTCTAATTTACCCCTAAATGTCATGTAAGGGCCCAGTAAGCAGTGGAAGTGTTGCTAATGCTGCTAGACATTATTGACCTCTGTGGTTTGGCAAATTCACTGGTTCGGCACCAATCCAGTCCCAAAGGTGCTGTACTGGAATATTTTTAAAGCAGTGCTAATGCAGTAGGAGCATTTTGGTATTTGCTTTCTGCTCTTTACCCCCTACTTCTATTTGCAAAGGCCTGGTATTAAGTCTCCTTAATGAGAGAAAGATGAAATGGCATGTCCAGTGCCAATGTCTCTCAGCCATGCTTGGGGAGTCAGTTCAACTGAAAAGGAGAGCGCTTAGTCATAACTATCAACAATCTTGCAAACACAGATACATTTTTAAATATTAGCCTCAAGGTTTGTTTGATGATTCAGCATTATTAACATACAGTATGTAATTGCAAAGCTAATGGTTTATTATAGTGATACCATTCACATTGCAATAGTAAACTGAGTTTGTTGAATTTACATTACAACATTCCATTTTATAGCACTTATTTGGTCATAAACTAGCCTCTGGGTTGAAATGTGATGTAATACCAAAGGTCAAATTTTGCCCTTGACAGCCTGTGTGTGGCTCCATTTATTAGAGTGGGGAACAACATGGCTGTGTCTAGACTGCATCCCTTTTCCGTAAAAGGGATGCAAATTAGACACATCGCAATTGCAAATGAAGCGGGGATTTAAATCCCCCCTGCTTCATTAGCATAAAAATGGCTGCCGCTTTTTTCCAGCTCGGAGCTTTGCCGGAAAAAAGTGCCAGTCTAGACGTGGATCTTTTGGAAAATAAAGACCCCTTATCCCTCATTATCCATTTTAAGAGGGATAATGGATCTTTCAGAAAAGGCTTTATTTTCCGAAAGATCCATGTCTAGACTGGCGCTTTTTTCTGGCAAAGCTCTGAGCCAGAAAAAAGCAGCAGCCATTATTATGCTAATGAAGCGGGGGGGATTTAAATCCCCACTTCATTTGCAATTGTGATGTGTCTAATTTGCATCCCTTTTATGGAAAAGGGATGCAGTCTAGACACAGCCCATATGTTTATCCAAGGAGAAAATGTAGTCACTCTTGATTTTTTTTAAATAACCACAAAATGCAAGCTATTTTTAACGTAGTAAAAGAATAATTTGTTTTAGATGCATTTTTGCCTTAAGTGAATCATAGTATAAGGTTTCAATACCATTAAATATATTTATAAAATGTAATTATTTAGGGTTGGATGAGATTTTGATATGTTCCCAGAGGATCTAGAAACTCAATTCCTATTGAAAATCGATAGGAGATGGGCTCCAATCTCATTTGAAAATCCCTCTCTTAACTTCAGCTGCATGGACAGAAAACATTTTAAAATAAAAATTTTAACAAAAGAAAATCAAAATAACTGTAAAATGGCCAAACTACATGAATAACTTGTAAATTGCCACTTGGAATTGATTATCTTTCAAAATAATAAAATCCAGTTTTCATACACATCAAAGGCTCAGATCCTGCAAATGCTGGAGCACATACTTAACATTAGTAGCATTGATTTCAGTGTGAGTAGCAGAGCTAACCACACATGTGAGTGTTTGCATATTAGGTACTTTACAAAGGAAGAAAGCATCATTAGTGCTATTTTAGAAACAGGGAAACTAAGGCAGAGAGAGGTGAAGTGACTTGCCCAAGATCAATCAGTACACCAGTGGCAGATTCAGGCTCCAAAGGGCCAGTCCGCTGCCCTAACCATATTTCCCACTTTCCACATCCTTTGGTTTGCCCATGTTGTGCTTATTCAGGGCAGGAACAATATGGGTATCTTTAAACCACCTTTATCCTCCCTCCCCAGGCTGGTCACCACTGTAGCATCATGTTACAATAAGATCATTGATGCCCTGTCCGATGCTGGAGGTTATTCTGGCTGTGAAGATCAACCAGGCATAGTGGCTGCCTGGCCTGTTTCCTTGTCCATGGTCACAAATGCTATTTCAGGGGCTTGAATGAGTGGTCGTGTGGGGTGCTGGCTGCTCTTCTCCTTTGAGTGGTGGGTAACACCCTCCCTGCCCCACCCTTTCCAACCAAGCCCCTCCACTGTGGTTGCTGCTAGCCCCTGCCCAGCCTCCACTCCCATCCCCCATTGTGGCTGTTGGACTTTCCCCCCTGCCCCAGGGTAGTGCCCGTAGTCTGGGAAAGTGCGACTCCAGCCTCCCACAGCCCTGAAACTCTGGAGAGCCAGCAGGTGGCATGGACACAGCCTCCCCTCGCCCTGGAGTGCCAGGCAGGGAAGCCAGGAGACACAGCCACAGCTTTCCCAGGCTGTGCCTGCTGGCGAGACCCCCAGCCATGAACCTCCCCACGCTCTGCAGCCAAGCTGACAGCTCAGTGCTCGGTGGGGAAAGTGGCCCCGGTGCTAGGACAGGTGGCATGGTCCCCAGTCTGCCTGCCCCAGCCTCTGGCATGAGACCAGCAGGCTGGAGGAGGGAGCCTGAAGGAGTCTGGTGGAGCATGGGCAGGGCAAGTAGAGGCTGTCTATAATACCAGCCCACCCATGTCTATGCCACCTGGCAACTTCTGCTGTTCATGCTGCTCCTGATTCTTGCTTGCTTGAGTGAATGTGTCAGTTAGGGGCAGGGGATTAAAAATGCAAGTTAAAAATGATTAATTTCATAAATGGTTGCGATATGTCAACAAACCAATGCAAGGAGCCAGTGTGTTTTTTTAATATAACAGGAACCCTTCTAACAAATATGTATTAAAAACTCATTTGCCAAGTAACTTGCTTTTTTGGAACAGAGCTTAAACTCAAAATGTCAGAAGAGCACAACTGTACCCCTCAAGCACCCCAAAGAATTGTGCAGCATGAGAGCACTGTCACGTATACGGAGACTAAAAAGCAGGAAGCAGGAAGTACTGAACTAAATCCGTCCATTGAAGAAACAATGGATATTGTATTGAAGCAATTAAAGGAGAAAAGACAACAGCTTAACCTCCCCGAGACAATAAAGGTATGTCTGTTGCTTGTAGAATAATCACATCTGGGGACAATGCATTTTTGCACTAAGATCACTGAGCTTAGCACACTTTTTCTGGAATGGGATTCTAGGGAGAATTGCGAGGACAAAGAAGGGCTCAATTTACAAAGAAACTTATTAGTGTGGTGATGCTCAGCAGTACCAGACCTACTTTTTAGACACATATATGGTTACGTCTACACTGCAGGCTTTTTGTGCAAGAACTGTTTTGCACAAGAGTTCTTCTGTAAAAGGTCTTCCACAAGAGCATGTCCACACTGCCATATGCTTTTGCGCAAGAGATGTGCTTTTCCGAAAGTTGTGCAAGAAAGCTCTGGTGGCCATTTTAGCTATAGGGCTTTCTTGCGCAAGAAAATCATGTTGCCTGTCTACACTGCCTTCTTGTGGAAGAGCTCTTGTGCAAGAGAGCTTATTCCTCGTAGGGAGAGGAATAACTTCTGGAGGAAGCCCTGTTTTCTGATGCTGTACTGTAAATTTACTTGTGCAAGAACGTGTGTACAGTGTAGACACCTGGCAAGCTTTTGCGCAAGAATGTAGCTCTTGGGTCTGTCTAGACTACAGGGTTTTTTCGAAAAAAGTGGCCTTATTTCGAAAAAACTTCCCCTGCATCTAGACTGCTTTTTTCGAAAGTAAATCTAAAGAACATGGCAGTTTTTTTGCAGCGGAAAACCTTGTTTTACGAGGAATAACACCTTTTTTCGAAAGTGCTCTTTTGAAAAAAGGTGCTATGTAATGCAAACTGTGCTTTTTCAAAAGAGAGAATCCAGACTGCTTGGGTGCTCTCTTTTGAAAAAGCAGCTTGCTTTTTCGAAAGTATAGGTTGTAGTCTAGATGCTCTTTTTCGAAAAAGCCTCTTTTGAAAGAGGCTTGCAGTGTAGACATAGCCCTAGAGAATCACTGGCTGGGATTTCAACTCACGAGTCAGGTGCCTGGGCTTCCCACACAATGAGGGGAGAGAGGGGACACCTCAAAATGGAATTCACATGAACCAGCTTGGTAGGCTGCTCATGCCCAAATGAAACAGTGGGAGATGCAAAGTGTGTATGGTAAGCCCCACCTCTCTCAGAGAGGAAAGCATGGAAATTAAGGCTGCACAGAGGATTTTCCTTCAGCATGAGATTCCCAGATGAATCCCCTCCCTTGGTGTTAGGCATGTATATTATTTTGGAGGGAGGAGAAGGCAAGTGGGAGATGCAATCTCCCTCCCAACTCTTAGCCCAGTGGTAAGAATACTCACCTGGAATGTGGGAGACCCCTACTTTAAATCTCCCATCCTTCTGAGAGGAGAAGGAATATGAACTGGGATCTACTATGTAACATCTTCTCTAATTCCATTAGCCTGATGAATAGGACTTTGAATAAGTTCTGAATTGAGTATAATAGTCTCTTTTATCCCTTTCATTGATGTGTTCTGTGTCAGGTGCATTTGTGTCATTGAGTTTCATGGATTTGAGTGGTGTAGTAAATCAGAAATACCAGTGTCTATTTCATGGTTGCAGTCTGCTAGACTCTAGCTGTTGCGATTCCAATGAGGATTGTTCACCTAGGTCGTGAGGAGGAAGTTGCTCCTGTAACCTGGACTATTGATATAACTTCAACTGATTAGCATGCTGTTACCCTTGCCTCTAGTTAGTCTAATTTTGTATACTGCTGAACTGAGTTTATCGATGGAGCCAACCCTTCCGAATCACCGATTACACAGACCATGCTCTGGTGCTTTGATAACAACATTAATTGGTCACCAACCTCCTGAGTATTCTCTCTCAGGTTAGTGTCAAAGTAGGCCTTTGCCTTGTGTCTGGATTTCCACAGTCTATCAACTATTTGCAAATGGACCTGATTTAAATGTTCTCACAGATTCTTCAAGTTGGCATCAATTTTTATTCCCTTCAGTTGAGTGCCACTGGCATGCCAAATTAGGTGTTCAGGTATTCAGATCATTCAACCTGTCATTGCCTCAAAGGGTGTTTTATAAGTAGAAGCAGCTGGTGTTACTCTCAATGCCAGAAGAATCGGAGATCTGAGAGTATCCTAGGTTAGACCTGTTGGCATCAACCAGTTTCCTCAGCATAATTTTTATTGTCCAGTTGGATTATTGCACCATCCCAGATGGCTGTGGCATGTATTGGTATGTATTGGACATTAGTCTCTCTGGGTATGTCTACACTACAGCACTAATTTGAACTAACTTAATTCGAATTAGTTAATTCAAACTAAGCTAATTTGAATTAGTGCATCTAGACCTAAAAACTAATTCAAATTAGCATTTTGCTAATTCAAACTAGCATGTCCATATTGAGTGGACCCTGAACCAGGGTTAAGGCTGGCCAGAACATGTGCCGGCAGGGCATCAGGTTAGGACTTAGAGCGTGGAGCTGCTGCCTCAGGCTAGCTAAGGGCTGTGATTAAAGGGACCCGACCCCCACCCCGGACAGACAGTTCTCAGGGTTTCCCGCTTGCTTGTCTAACTCGATGAGGGACAGCAAAGCAGTCCTGGAGTGCCCACACTCGGCACATCACAGCACTCGGACATCAGCCTGGCTGCACTTGCCACAGGCTGCCATCTGGGAGGTCAATCGGGGGCCTGTCAGGATCCCGGAGGCCCTGCAGGAGAGCTTCCACCCCGAGGAGCCCACAGAGACACCCCAGTTCTGATGTACAAAATAAAGGACACGTGTGTTCAAAAATAGAAACTCTCTTTATTTAACAAAACTGGGGGGGGGGGGGATGAACCTCTGGGGAGACTGGGAAAAGGAGGTGGAAGAGGGGAAGAGAGAGGCTGGGGGGGGGGGGGGGGGAAACACGG